TTCTCCTCCAGCTCAGCACCGCTATAGCTGTCAGGACTGGTTTGGGCAGAGCTGATCCTGCTGTAGGCAATGGATGAATGAGCCGACATCTCAAGGTGCCTTCCAATTCTATGATTTTCTGTATTCCTTTTTGGTGTGGAGAGGAAAATTTATTTTTTCTGTCTACCGAAAAATGTCCCAAACCATCTAGTCACCTTGTTAGCATAATAAATGACAGGACTGGGGTGTTCATCTCATTAGTTAAATTGTATCTAATACACTATAATCACGGAAGAAAGCTCTTGGCAAATCAGCACCCACATGATTAATATTTTATCAACACAGATATACTCAAGATTAATTATTTATCCTGGCAGAAACCTTTTATGAGCTACAGTACAATTGGAATCCAAAGCTAACTACACTAGGAGTACTGGATAGGAAAAAAAAAAGGGCATGTTGTCTTAGATCTTGTGGGTTTAGTCTTGTAGTACATCACATGTTGCCAGGATAACATCTTCTTAGAAGAACAAACTCAGAGCTCCCACCCAAACGGACAGTCTTAATGACAAACAGCCCAAATCTCATCATTCATTTTCAATCATTTCCATGTGTTAAGAATAAAACACAAGAACAAACATGGGAGTAGGCTGCTGTATTTTGATTCTGATCTACTTCCAAAGACAGACTGAAAACATGATGCTACGTTTGTACTTCATCAGTAGTGTGATTTACTAAAACAGACATTTCCAGTCATAAAAATGTTTTTCAACCTATTCTCATGCTACCTTAGGGCCCTTTGAACTGGGTCGATTTTTGGACCACAGCAGAAGGTATGAGCATAACAAGAATCCAGCCTCCTACTGCTACATGAGGTGTATTATTCTTAGATAATAATGTCACCTTCTTTTCAACCTATGCATTCCTAATAAAAAAGATATATCTTCCTGCTTGTGTCAGTTAAAAATGCAGTTGAGATGGGAATGAACATCAACAGTGAGGGGGAAAAGCCATTTTAGCAGTAGCATCCAACCTGCCTGACAAGTGACATAACCCCCCTCACCTGTGGGGAAGAGCCTGGAGACACCTATCAGGCATCTCAGAGCTGTGGCTGGGAGAGCTCTTGGAGGTGGCAGGCAGGGGATCGCCCCTCTGCCCGGAGCATTGGGCTCTACTGTGGGATGTATGGGGGCCTTGGGGCAAGCTGGTGATGGGGCCTGGCGACCTGTGGCTGCTTTCTGCAGCAGTGAGGCCCTGGGACACGGGCACAGCCCTGCTCCTGGCTGTGTGCCTGGCATGGGGCTGCAAATATTCCTGGGGGATAAAAGGGTGGCTTGCTCAGAAAGCTCCAGACCATCAGTCAGAAAGGGCAGAAAAGCAGATAAAGCCCATTTAATTTCTGTGCATAGGTACTTCCATAAGAAAAACTTCCCAATATCAGAGCTCTTTAATATAGTGGAGAAGCAAAAGAAACAAAGAACTGGTAGGCAAGGTTGGGTCTCATCTAACTAGCAAAGGTTGTTCAGGGATGAGGATATCTGGTCATTAGTGGATGGTGGGTTCACCGCCTCCTATCATCCTTGCATCAAAGGAAGATGTTCTTCTGCGAGCTCTTCTTCAGTAAAATTCAAATAATTGGGCTCAGTTATCCAGGCAGGAACTTATGTGAAACGTAAAGGCCTTTAGCACACCGGTCAGAGTAGATAGGCGCTAACCTTTAAAGACAAACAGAAGTGAAGAGCTGTGGCATGTTGGCAGTGGGACAGTATCCGCAAGCGTGGCGGTTTGTGCTACGGTAATAAAAAGGTGGGGTCCATCAACACCTTTCTGACGTACGTCAATGGGCAAGCGCTACCTTAAGGACCGCGTGTATCCTTTTGACTGCAAGGCTTCTTCCTCTGCTGCTTTGTAAAAAGTACCTGTCGTTGTTGTTTGTTTGATCAATTTTCTCAGTCAACCACAACATGTAACTGGAAAATTGCCATCTGCCTCCTGGACTGCTCAGAGAATGGTATCGGCGCCTCCGAATGCCACCCACCATCTGCCAGGCAGGCTGTCACTCTCCCGAATCCTTACGGCTGTTTTAGGTCTAACAGCTGTACGACAGCAACACACGCTGTCAGGCTTGCTTGTTGCTGACAGCTTGTTGCTATCAAGCACAAAACAATTTCTATATGAAGTCTATACTGGATGATGCAGTATATGTAAGCCACGTAGATTAGACTTCATTACTCAACAGCCTTTGCAATGCCTCAGTGACTCTTTCCAAATGGAGAGGTGCAAATAACCTTATTTTCTACATCTGAGACTAGAACTACAGTGACAACAGAATCCTAATAGAATTAGTCACATTTGCTTTTTCCTATCACAAACAAGTGGCAACAGTGAAGGTAATTGCTCTGACAGTTACTTAAACTGCAAAATTAAAACCAACTCTCCCCTACAGCATCCCTCCTGTTTTAAGTATCTATTAATACATCATGTCATAAGAGCTCACGGCTAATTTTTTATCCACTCAATTTATTCATGCTCATCACCACGACAGAGAAGTCCACAATGAAGAGAAAACAATGTTTGGAGGGGGTTGTCTAAGGGCTGCTCAAGTGTTCTTATGTCTTATTAAAAATTTTACACTCATTACCTCAACTAAGACTTGTGATGAGTTTTGGTGAGTTGACATTGATGGAACTGAAATAAATTCTTGTGTATGCCAGCATGAAAGCTAACACGACTGAAGTCTACCTATGCAGGGCTGAAAAACATGGACATAATCTTTGGGAACATCATGCTGACTCTTTCATGTATTCTAAAGCTGAATTATTTAAAAGAAGAACTGGAAGGATGTTGCAGCCCATCAGGAAAGCCCCAACCTGCTTCTTCCCTTGGTCCCTTCATTGTTTTTAACACATTCCTCTGCAAGATGCGTTATCTTAATTCCATCTCTATATTCACAGACATGTAGAAGGGCTGTTACTACACAGACATTGCATGTTTAGTGTCTGACACACCAACCGTGTCTACTGAACTTGGAGGTTTCTTTGACTAACTCTTTTCCACCTCACAGGGTGGAGGAAGTCTCAAGACACTGCCAGGTCAGCCGAGTCACCCAGAGCAGCAGTAACCAGTCCATCGCTTCAGTCAGTAGTCAGTTAGCAATAAAGGCAGAGTAATTTTTCTGGATAGTAACAACAGAACTTGGTAGAATATACTAAGAATGTTGTACACAAAGAAGAACATTAGCGTCTAGATAGTTTGGAATTTTTTATGTTTTTGTAAAACCTAATTGTTTGACCTGTTTACATGAAGTAAATCATAAATGTAATGGCCCTTTGATACTTCAGATGGGTTCTTTTTTTTTTTGCCACCAGCGCATCGTAAATTTTTCATGGGTAGATGCTTGTTAACACCTACTACAGCTGCACTCACAGGACAGCCTCAGACCTAAAGGGAACAGCAAATATCCTGGATAAAAGGGGACCATGGAAACGAAAAGAATCTGCCACAGCTCTTCCCCAGTGTTGGGTGGCTGAACAAGAAGGTATTTCTGTCTTCTGCTGATGGTGGGCTTATGGCCAGGGACTGAACAAGGATCAACTGTCACTGAATATTGGTCTGCCAGGGGAAGCAACAAACAGCAGTTGTTGAGCTTTGTGATGACATAATAAAATCACGCTGTGGTAATACTTGTACTAAGGAGACATTTCTACAAGGCTAGAAATGCCCATAGGCAACACAGGGGCCCTTGTGATGGTTGTGAGCTTATCCCCAAGAGGATGCCTTCGACAGAAGTGCTCTCCAGGTTATACTTACTTTTTTACCTTCAAGTTCTCAAACCATCTGTCCCACGACAACCTGCCACCCTCTTCTTACATTACAGTCCTCCCTGGCAGAAGGTTTGGGCTGCTTTACAATGAGAAGATGAAACTCAAGGGAGTCCCAGAGAATCTCAAAGAGTGGTTTAAATTAAGAACGAAGAACTTGCCCACCCCCCAGATTAATTCGTGTCACAAACATCACAGAGAACAAGAGAATAATGCATAAAGAGTCATCTTGGTTTCTTGAGAGACAGAAGGCTAAAAAACAATTACACAATTTCACAAAAGTCAAAATCCATCAAACTTTTCAAACTATCGTCTCATCAAAACCATTGCTGCTATTCCCAGAATGTCCCCAAAGCACCTTGCTTACAGCAGAGCAGCTACCCAGATTTTCAGGTGAATTGATTTTACTTGTAGTAATTTTGAAGGCAGCAGAAGTAAAGATAAGCTTGATGCAAGACTGCAAACAAAGAAAATAATTAGAGACTTTAAATCTCTAAGGATGTGCAGTCAAGAACTTTGTTCAATTGTAGAAAAAGGGACCAGATCGAGTTCAGAAAGCAAAAAGCATGTGGAAATACGCAGATTTGGAGCTGTAATGTCACATTAGGTGCAGCTCTTACTTGAGAGCTTGGTTTCTAAGAGCAAGGTACACCTTAGAGCTGGTTGGGATTATTTTGTTGAAAGCATTTTTTTTCAGTAAAATTTGTTACTTTTGTTCAAATTAACATGTTCATGAAGATATTAACTTTGATGAAAGCTCCATTTTAAAATGACACATTTTGATACAGCTGAAAAGTTCCATTTTAACATCCACATAATGGATCCTTTTCTTTGAACAATGCTTAGCTTTCAGTGAAAACTTATGACATTTTTTAAAAAAGTTTTAAAACCTAAACCCATTGAACCAAATAAAATACCTCATTTGACAGAGATGATTAACCTGATATTTCTCCCAGTAGAATTTGGGCTATTAGAAAAAATTTAACTTCTGAAATTTCAAAGCAGGCAAAATTTGGGAAAGATGCAGTACTCAACAGAATGAAACAACCCAGTTTTACCCAGATTTCCAGTGTCAGTCTTGACCATGAAAGAGGAGTTGCCTTTCTGCACTGCAGTGCCTCCCAAAGCCACCATAAACCACAGCAACATGTGCTGCAACACCACGGTGCCCCTTTCATCCTTCACAAAAAACATGCTTACTGGCTCATCTGCTGACAACCTGGTAGTCCCTACGGTTGGTTTCCGTATATCCTCTGCGAATCTGTAAGACTTGCTCTGGAGGTGTAAAAAACACAATACATAAGATGCTTATGAACCTATTGCAAAACATGAGGTTAGGAGAAAGAACAAACTAAAGCTGAAAAGCTCTGTTTAGAACTTATTATTTTCAGGCTGTTCCAGAAGCGGTTCTCTGATACAGATGCAGGCATTTCTCCAAGATGACCTGTAATTTCCTAGGGACAAACACAGAATGCTGCAATTCCCAGAAGAATCATGGGCTGAATCATGGGATTCTATTCCAACACGGGCTCAAACCTCTTCCCACTGAAGCCTACAGCACAACTCTGGTGTACCGCACCTACACTCAGGCTACCTAGTCCAGCATGGAGCTCATACAACGCTAAACCTGCCTGAGATGCAGCACTGAGATCTCTCTTGCCATAGATAGACCTCAACTTTTCAGTTTAAGCCTAAACTGAAAATGCTTGTTGTACACTGCATTCAGTGCAGTGTCCAGTGAAAGGCTCTCCAAGGCCAGGACCCTCAGGAGATGCTTGCCAACAATCTTACAACGTGTCTTATGTGGACACACAGGGCTGCGTGGCAGGAGTCTCCTTGGCCGCCTCTCCTATGCAAAGATAGGTTCCTGAACCTCTCGCTTCTCTCCCCTTGTGCAAGCAGCCAGGCCACAAAAGGATGGTGAGGAGATGGGACCATCTACCCTTCCACAGGGAGACAAGAAGCTCCTTGGCTTAGTAGCTGGAGCTTTGCACAAATTGTACGGGCTCTCTTCAGTGTGGCAGAGAAAATGTCCTGAAGGGCTGGTCCAAAAGCAGCAGATGCTCAGCATCTCTCAAGGCCTTGCTGAATTTGAATTAAAAAAAATAGTCACGTCATAAAATAATATAAATCTTAGAGAAATTAACGTAACATTAGCCTGTATCAGCAAACAGCTGTAAAACTGCAGGTTTTCAGGATTCAAGGAGAAAATGCGCTGCTGAATAAATATTGCCTTTTGTCCATTAGTTTTAAAATTGGAGCTAAAAACCCCCAACTTCTTCAGCACAAGCTACTTAACTTTGAGACAGACGGATCGTTCACAGCTACCACACACAAATTTTTGACAATCAGGTTGTTTTGAGGTTAAATATCTCTATGCAGATTTAGATATTTGTTATTGAACACCCAAATGTTAGCCAAAATTGTCTCAGTCAAACTCATATGGTAATCTTCAGTAAATCCTGACGCCTGGATTTTAATCAGGCCCTTCTGTGAGCACCGCACTTCGAGATTACTCCTGTCCCTACTATTCAGTGATAAATTTAGCCAAATTTTGAAAGTGTTGGCCTTTGGGACAGAAAGTTTTTCATACATCTTTAGGGAATTATTTTAGTGTTCAGAATGTTCCAACACAAATTTGCTAAACTAACTAAAATTAGTTTTCCCATGACATCCTACACATAATTTATTTTTCTCGCAATTGAAGTCCTACCCTTTTCAACTAAGCCACAATAAGCTTTAAAACTCAGAACTTCTGTGTCACAGTAATAGTTTAATTTTTCAAGTACTGCAGTTAAGTGATGTTACCAGCTACATACAAGTTTTCCACCCACACTTCAAGTAGATTTTGAGGTTAAATCTTCATCTGCAGCTGTATTAATGCAATTTAAAGTGAAAAGGGACAAAAATAAAAACAGGAAATTGTTGCATTCTTGACAATCCAAATTAAGCAACTACTTACATGTGAACTGCCCATTTTTGCTTAGCCTGAGCCTGGAAATGCAACTCTTCTGCTCTTCAGCAAAACAAGCATTCAGATGGAATAGTCAACTTTTACTAGAGCAGCTAAATCCTACCCAACCCTGGGTTAATCAATAACTTTTGACATTATTTAAATTCTAGTCATTTCAAGGTGGGGCATATTCATCATCACATGGTGGCTTTATTATCCCTACTATCTAATACAACATCCTGTTGGGTCATGGAGCTGGCTGGTTTCTACAAGGAAAATCAGGATTTCAAAATATAAGCCTCGAGGTGATACATACTCATTTATCTAATTGCTATTACAATGATTTAAAACATATAACTATGGTAGTGCCCAATATGTGCTTTCCAAACATTTTAGAAAGAAGGATGCCTCCTCTGAAGAGTTTACGTCAGATCTTATAGCATTTAGTGGTATTTAATATGTCATTGAGCCTTCTCAGCTCCTACAAAATATTTTGAACAGAATCTCACTGCTTTTATTGGGTTTACGTGGCAAGGTTTTGGTAGCAGGGGGTTGCAGGAGTGGCCTCTGTGAGATGAGGGCTTACCCCCATGCTGGACACAGCCAGGGCCAGATGACTCCAAAATGGACCCACCACTGGACAATGCTGAGCCCCATCAGCGATGCTGATGGTGCTTCTGTAATAACATGTTTAAGAAAGAGTAAAAAATACTGCACAGCAGCTGCGAGAAAGGAATGAGAAAAATGTGAGAGGAGCAGCCCTGCAGCCCCCCAGGCCAGCGCCGCAGGCGGGGCAGGAGGGGCTCCAGGCGCCGGAGCAGAGATTCCCCTCAGCCCCTGGGGCAGCCCATGGTGGGGCAGGCTGTGCCCCTGCAGCCCAGGGAGGCCCACGGGGGAGCAGATCCCCACCTGCAGCCCGGGGAGGACCCCACGCCGGAGCAGGGGGGTGCCCGAAGGAGGCTGTGACCCCGTGGGAAGCCCGCGCTGGAGCAGGCTCCTGGCAGGGCCTGTGGCCCGGTGGGGAGAGGAGCCCAGGCTGGGGCAGGTTTGCTGGCAGGACCTGTGACCCTGTGGGGACCCACACTGGAGCCAGGAAAGAACATGAAGAGGAAGGAGCAGCAGATACATAAAGTATTATCGGCTGACTGCAAGCCCCTTTCCACGTCCCCCTGCTCCGCTCAAGGGAAGGAGGTAGAGAAAATTGGGAGTAAAGGAGTAAAGACAAGCCTGGGAAGAAGTGGGGGAGGAAGGTGGTTTTAGTTTTGTCTTTGTTTCTCATTGTTCTACACTATTTTTAATTGGCAATAAAGTAAATTAATTTCCCTAACTCAAGCCTGTTTTGCCCATGGCAGTAACTGGTGAAAAATCTCCCTCTCTTTATCTGGGCCCACGAGCTTTTTCATCGTATTTTCTTCCCCTGTCCTTTTGCGGAGGGGGAGTAAAAAAGCAGCTTGGTGGGCACACGGCAGCCAGCCAAGGTCCTGCTTTAGACCTCAGGTAGGACAACCGGAGAAAAATAAGAGAAGAAAACAAGCACACTCGAATTTACAGCAGTTCAGAGAAAAAAAAAAAAAAAAAAAAGAAAACCAAACCCAAACCTATGTGATTATCTAAACAGTAAGCAAAAGAAAGTCAGTGTGTTATGGAAAGTGCATTAATAATTCTATGTTTTAAATGGTTTGACAGACAGTACTTTCCTGTAAAGACCTCACTACCATTCAAACACACTTAAAAATAAATTATCAGCTTTGATTATGGTGTTCAAACACATGCAATGTAAAAATCGAATGAGAGCATGAAGAATTTTATTCAGAATTCAAGGCTTTGTGGTAACATACTGTCTCAAAGGCATCTTCAAAGCCTTTACTGAGCTGGGAACTACCTACTTCTTTCATAATATTTTTGGGAATAAAGCCGTCCCAACTGACGTTAAAGGAAATACTGGAGAAAAAGCAACTGCAGAGTTTGTCTGGAATCTGTCAGGTTGGAGGGCACTCATAAACTCAGATACAGACTGGTAATCCTACTGCTTTTACTGGGCAGCAGCCCAGGAGCAACTCGTTAAAGAACTTAAAACAAACAGCAGATTGAGTCATGCTACATCATGCTGTGCATGCAAATGTTCTGTCTAAACATGCAAATGGGGTATCAGTAGGAAAACTATGTGCTACTCCCACTCACCATTATAGGTACTGGGAGTTTAAAAGTTTGTATAATTAACAGAAATGAAGGATTTGTATGGTACTTTTCAGCTTTGTAAATAAGAGGACTGGCTCCCTGCAGAAGACCTGAGGACCATGCTCCCATGGGTGACATACCCCAGGCAATGAGACAGGGGCATCTCTTAGCATCTAATGAATGGGGTCTGCCTCCATCTATTTCTTCCTTCTTTTGCCAGCAGGATGGAAAACTGAGGCATGGCAAGACCAAGCAGGCTGGATGCAGAGAAGGCACAAAGGGGTGCATTAAGAGGAGTGCGGCCAGCAGGTCGAGGGAGGTTATCCTCCCCCTCTACTCTGCCCTGGTGAGATCCCACCTGGAGTACTGTGTCCAGTTCTGGGCTCCCCAGTTCAAGAAAGATGAGGAACTCCTAGAGAGAGTCCAGAGGAGGGCAACAAAGATGATTAGGGGACTGGAGCATCTCTCCTATGAGGAAAGGCTGAGAGAGTTGGGCTTGTTCAGCCTGAAGAAGAGAAGACTGAGAGGGGACCTCATCAACACATACAAATATCTTAAGGGTGGGTGTCATGAGGACAGAGCCAGACTCTTCTCAGTGGTGCCCAGTGACAGGACAAGGGGCAATGGGCACAAACTGAAACATAAGAGGTTTCAGTTGAATATGAGGAAGAAGAACTTTACTTTGAGGGCGACAGAGCACTGGCACAGGCTGCCTAGGGGGGCTGTGGAGTCTCCTTCTCTGGAGATATTCAAAGCCCGCCTGGATGAAGTCCTGTGCAACCTGCTCTAGGAGAACCTGCTTTAGCAGGGGGGTTGGACTGGATGATCTCCCGAGGTCCCTTCCAACCCGTGTGATTCTGTGATTCCGTGATTCTGTGAAAAGGGTGCCTATAAACTGACATCCTCCTCTTAAAGGTGGCATGGAGAGAATTGAAAAAGGTGAAAAGGAGCTGAAACATTTATACCAGGTAAGAAATGCCCCACACTGCAGAGCGCAACTGTAGACTGATAACACTGCTACTTGCTGGCTACCACCAAGCGAGTCCTTGCCCTAAAGGCTACCACAGAATTGGTTAAAGCTGATGGGCCTTAACTGAGGCTAAATGGAGGAGGCAACTAACATCTTCAATCTAGTGAAGTAAGTGAAATAATAAAGGACCAAGGTGGTAACAGGTAAGAACTAAGTGAAGCCAAGCTTTGCGGTTTTTGCAGAGGGTATTTGTGGTAGCGGAGTGCCCACATGGCTGGGCAGCAGGATGATGCTTTGTCTGTCTGCAAGAGGCAGAACTTTCCCTGGAGAGGCAGGCACCTGGGTTGCTGTGTGACAGAGAAACATGGCTTGTGGATTACATCAGAGTCAACAGAATGAATGCCTTCACCAACCTTGACTGCAGCATTGCTGTGAGCCATGAAATGGCTCTTACAGTGGTAGGCGCGCCCGGCAGTCCCGTTCAA